TCGAGCGCTTCTTGGTCCCAAAAGCTAGGGTTGAAGACTCCCCTGAGTTGTATCGGTAGATCTCTTTCTTGAATTATTCTGGAGAAGCTTTTGAATGTGTACATACTAGTAACCGCTTCGACTTTTATTTCACTATTGGGGAGTCGAAAATGGCGGTGATCATGCATCATCGCCGCGTTGTTAAGAGTTCAACGGGGATCTTTGAGAATTAGCGCTAGTATAGTAACAGTATGTCTATTTCAACCTAAAATCCATCGACCTACTACAGGTGCTGTAGAATAGAAGCCATCTATGTTCAGACCGCAGCTTGTACAAACATTCTTCCTCTTATTTTGGCTACAATTGGAGCGCAGTCAGAACTGTATAGCTAAACGAGGGGTTCTAAAATTATTTAGAATTCGTCGGAAGCTAAAGGAAGGATGCCTACTCGGGAGGAAGACATACCGTCCTACACGAGTACGCCTAGTTGGCTGTCTCTTCTAACTGAACTAGGTCATGATGCACTCTAGACACATACGATTATTAATATATGATGAACATGGGTGGAAAGATGAATGATGTACAGGCCATTCCTCATACAAGCGCTACGTAGTGCTGAACCTCCGGCTCCTGCTAAACCCTGCGGCTGCGGTGTCAATATCCACCTTCATCTCTATAACATCCTTAGTCTATGGAAGAAGAGGCCAAACCCGTCGAAGCTTTCGACCGACTCGCTTGAATTCTGCTGGGTCAATCTGGTGTCGCAAAGCAACCTCGTGAAGCTTAGAATCTTTTCCAGGATTTACGACTTCGCGCACCGAATGAGAGTGGGGAGCCCTGCAGAGAATTGCTGCCGTGCGATAGAACCCCCAACGCGAGGTATATTTGCCCAGCATGTATGCGTACACCAAAATGTGCCGGGAGGCGACAAAGGGGGGCATTTTTCTGACGGAGAATCCGTCGTAATGAGCGCGTATGATAGCGAAGAACACGTCAGATGTCTCGCTGAGTTTCTGCAGGGGGGTTGTGGCGGCTCGTCGTTCTTGGAGTTCTTCGCGGACGCGGTCTTTGTACCAGGATGGGGGCGATTGCCGTTGTAGACCTAGCATTGCGTGCCACCGTCTAAGCAGCGAATTGAGTGGTCGTGGCATCTTGGTTCAATAGTTAGTAACGCCTCGCCGCGCGGCGGTGAAGGATAAAAGCGACAGACGCCCAGTGAAACAATATTAGCGCCGTCCTGGGTCATAAGACGTCTAGACTTTCGGGCACATACATAAATTTCCCGGCACATTGTTGTACTTGTGATTATTATCCTGAAATAAGGAAAATCAAGTAAACTAGGTTGAAGCATTGTACAATATACACTGAATGTTAGGTAAATGTCCACTGAGTAAGCAACGAAGCAGAAACACGAATCATTCGCTCTGCCTTTATGTCAGTACTTCGTTCTTCGTAAATCGTATGTCTGAAGATCGTATCAGTGACGGCGTCTCAGCCTGGTCATCGTTGCTGATATTATTGTATTCTTGAACATTCGACTCTAAAAGTCGATCACGTTCTTCCAAAGACTGGATCGCATCTTCCGCTGTTTCAATCATTTTTCGTAAAGCCTCTGCAAGGCGGAGAGAACAATTCGATGCGATCAGTATATTGAAAGACTGGCTGGGGAGTCATGACTCACTTTCAATACTCAATGTAAATAACGTCTGCCTTGCCTCTGCATCCTGCAAGATCTCCGTTTGAATCCTTTCCCCAAACTTGGACGCGCCAGCGATATCATCCATCAGTTTTTTCAGGCTAGGGGGGATTTCTTGTCCACTAGATGGACCACCATTGGCACCGACACTTCCCGGCCCGACAAAATACTGCAAGTGCTCGTTGAAGAGGCGCGCATGTGCGAGGATACTTCGGGGTAGCTCCTCTAACTTCCTATCAATATGTCGTACGGTGTTTGCGAATCCACCTCCTTTATTGCGCAGCTGAGTATCTGATTTGGCATGCGGCTGCGGAAGAGGTGAAGAGTCGCCCGAAGACGTCTTGGATATATGGGTAGAGGTAGATGGAAGCGGAGGAAGAGGGGATGAGGCTGCTGCGGAAGATAAGGCATATTTTCGTTGTGATTTTGCGAAAGCTTTCGCTTTTTCCCTCGTTTTGTATCTGGCAACCGCACGATCGAAAATTTTAGTCGACTGAAGGACATTCTTATAGCGAGAGGTGTAGGCTTCTGCAACAACTGCGGAGACAACATCCAATGGATTAGCGACTAGGCACCCTAAAGCAAAAAATTTCCCTAACCTGAAATCAGAATTGTCATGGTCGCTACGCCCAAGAGAGCCCAACCGACAAAGATAGACCGTCCGGCTGGTGTCTTTGGAGAATAATCACCAAATCCGATGGTTGTGAATGCAATGACACCTATGACGAGGTATGAACATAGCAGTATAGCGATTAACTGATAGTCTCTTACAAAAATACAATGCGATTCCAAAACTCCAGCCTTCTGTCGCCATGAAAACTCCGGACCCGACCTGGAGACACACGTATGAGCAAAGTATCGCCAGATGGTGATTGATATAACGATATACGTACCAGCCAGAAAACTAAGAACAGTGTCCAGACAACGATCAACCTGGCGTAGAACGCTTTCACTTCCTCTCTTTCCATCACAATGCGGTAGGCATCATATTGTTGCGAAAGGGATTTGGTTTCATTGATGGAGGGTGAGGCGTTCGAAGGGTGATTAGCAGCCTTCATCGGCTTAGCTGAAGTCCTTGGGGCGGAACATTTCAGTGTACCTGGTCTGTTCACAGCGAGCGCAAATCCACCTAGCATGGCTGTCATCCTTCCAAGCCTCGCATGGGTAAGCGGAATGTCATCTGTTCCCTGAGTGTAGTTCTTCTGAGCATTCTGCAAGCGGGTCATCCAAGTTTCGAGTCGAGATGGGGGTGGACCAAAGTTGGAGTTTTCCCGTGCAACTGACGTCGGTGGTGGATGCAAGGCAGAAGATGCACTCGATACTCGCGTAGAACAAGTATCTTCCTCTCCTGAGGTAGATGGATGCCTTTCTGCCCATCTCCTGGCGAACCCTGGAGGTAACAGCTCACTTAACGGTACGCCCGCTTCCATTGCCGCACTCTCCAACGCAACTCCTTCCAAAGCCTCCAGGTTTAAATGCATCCCCTTTGGGTGAGCAACTGCTCCTAACCCTTTCCATTTTGACCTCCATGTCCATTGAGGAAAGGTCTTGTCAACGAACAGAAGGACCCAGTGACGAACAAAGCCCGAAAAGCCTGATACCCTAGTGTTGTCCATAGCCCAGATCGGATGCCCTTTTTCCCTCAACCGCCATTCTACCGCCTCTCGCCATCGATGCGCAACACGTTTCCGCCAGCGGAGGTTTTTCCTCTTGACCCGTGCGGCATGGATACGTTTTCGGTACCCAACTTCGAGCGCCTCAAGCACAGTCTCGCGAGTTAGGCTGACTGCTAACGCGAGATTGACGATGCCGAAGATGGCATAAAAGCAGATGAAAACCTTGGACCCGGTTGTGACAGGAGGAATGTCTCCAAAACCTGAGAGAGCATGAACAGGATGACGCAATCCGGAGAAAGCGCAAACGCACCAATAGCTTCGATGGAACAAATCGTAAAGTACAATGCATCGATAAAGTTGAGTTTCAGAAGGATACTCTCAATCAATGCGCCAAATGCGATGTATACCAGGAGAACGATCACCATGATCACCAGAGAACGCTGTTTCCGGGTTAAGCCGCTACCTGATCAGCATGATGAGAAAGAAAAACATAGTAAGAACTTGAAAAAGTATGGCGTTAAGGAGCATACCGCTGCTTGAAAAATCAGGGGTTCGGACGAAATCAGTGATGAGGCTAGCATTGGTGAATGTAGATGCTATTGTCGAACACAATGTCATCCAGAATGATTGCCCGTAGGTGAACCCGTCGTCAAAACGATTCTCCACGCCGAACGTCGTAAGGGCAATGATGTTAATTAAATCTACGAAGCAAATTCTGGGACTTATGCTCAAGGTTAGTATAGATAAATTTGACTCACCGTGCAAAGTAAGAAACACTACACAGACGATTGTCATCAATTTGACGTTCTTCTCCAAAAACCTGATAATTAACGCTACATTCGCCACCAGAGCACACCCCATGCTGATCCCTAATGCAACATCTAAAAGCACTGGGTTCGGTCTCTTCTCCACGGTCTGGTTGGCAATGGTCCTGATATACCAATTGCCGGTCAAGCCAGGAATCTCAAGCAGAATCGAAAATGGAATGATGACAGCAGAAAAGATCGGTGTGTAGCGGTAATTTGGAATAAAGAGAGATCCAGAAGGGTCCTTTTGTGGGTCTGGCGGGTACAAAAATGCTTTAAGCTTGATCCACCACTGCGGAGGGCCAGATCTAGGGCGATAGCGCATGTCGATGGACCCAGCGGAGAAGAGAGAAAGGCCTGATAACGAGCCTCGATGTTGTAGAGAGTGGTCTGTGACTGCTGAAATTGCTGAGATCGGTTCGTGTTCGTCGTCCTCTTCGAATTCGACTTCGTCGTCGTCAAGAACGGGCTCGTCTTGCGAAGATCCTTGTCCTATCACTCCGTTCTGATAATCCCCATTCCTTACTGGGCCTTTCTCGACATCTCGACTCAAAGCGTACTTTTCCGAGACAGTGGACACCTGATTGTTGGAAGACATTCGATCATGAAGTGATAAGCTAGCTGGCTGCTGCTAAGCATGGAAATGAAAGGATAGTACGGAGACGCAGCGCACTTTATAAGAGTGACGATAGTTGTTGTTGGAGTTCAAGTGACATGAGAGACAGGGCATTTGATCAATAGGCACTGACAGTCGAAAAATCTATGAGGACTTATTTTCTTCATGCACCACGTCCACATTTGCGTTTACGCTCCTAATTCGAAGGAGATTGTTACTCTAGAAGCTCTTATGACTGCTTACCTGCCAGATTCAAAAAGTAAGAATCAGAGCGTCTTTACCAAGACCTGCCCCAGAGAGGGTCGAACTCTCGACCTTCCGATGTAGTTAAGATATAACAGTCGGACGCTGTAACCAACTCAGCCATGGGGCATAACATACTTGGAAGATAGAGAGTGATATAACTGAATGGACGAGCAGGACCAGAGCATAAATATCCACCACGTCCTACAGAGGCGTATATACATAATGGTTATCCCGGCGACAATACCGTCCGTGCCTGACACACAAAGATTTCATTTTAATTCTAGCATTTTAGTCTTCTAGAACAGCCAGGGACCCACTGTAGCAATGGTCAATTTAATGCTGCTTCGTCAAAAATGATGGACTTACTCTTCCCAGGCGTAGGTAGTTGCAAACAACTCTGATGTATGAGATTCAACGCTTTCACAGCATCTTTCCCCTCTATAACACATGAGATATTGATTTCACTTGCACCCTGACTGATCATCTCGATATTAACATTTCCGTTTCCGAGCGTGGTGAACATTCGGCCAGCAATTCCGACAAGGTGGCGCATCTCCCGCCCGACGAGAGAAAGGATGGCCATGTGTCGATGCACATAAACCTTGTGGTAACAAGGAGTAAGCGGAGGAATCAGAAAGACTAAGAATCCGACTCACCGATCCGCTTTTCTTCAGCTCCAGGATCAAGCGGTCCAGTAGCTTCTGCGCCAAAGCATCCTCAATCGCCATACTCACATGCACCTCACTGGTGCTGATCAAATCCACCACAACCCCGAATCGATCCAGTGTCCCAAAAATGCCCGCGAGAAACCCGTGCGAGACGCTCTTTCGATTCGAATTGACGTTGATCACAATGATGCGCTCCTTGATCGTTACTGCTGTAGGAAACTTTTTATGGTGATAATTAGCACCATTGTGAGCGTGGTGGTGAGCAACTTGCTGTGCCATTTCGTGTAGCTGTGACTGTGATATTGGTTCCGGAATTCTGTTTTTATTTGCGTCTAGTTCCTGCGACACTTCTAAGAGGTCCGAGTCGTGTTCGGAATCTGGGAATATGAGAGTGCCGCCGCCAGTAGGATTTTCAACATTTTTGATGCGGATGGGAATTTTACAGCGAATGGCCTAGCACCGAAGGTATGTACGTGAGTGAGTGAGAATGGCACGAAGAAGACGTTGCGTATACCTGCTCCATTGTGAATGGATGCACCACCTCACTCCCATAGTATGTCAGTTCAGCGGCTTCATCGGGTGAAATAATGGGTAAAAGTCTAGCGGTGGGGACTTTACGTGGATCAGCGGTGAATATGCCGTCGACTTCTTTCCAGATCTGCAGTTCACTGGCTTCGAGACCTACAGAAAGGAGTGCTGACAAAAGATCCGTGTAACCGCGTCCTACTTGAGTCAATAGGGAGCCAGGTATGGGCCCGAAGAAACCTAGAGCATTAACCTCGGTCAATTCAACAGTCTAACTCGATAGGGAATTGCTTACCGGTGACCACAGGTACTCTTCTACCGCATTGCTTGACGCGTTCTCCAACGGCTTGAGCGACTTTGTCATAGAAGCTTTGGTCGAGGGTGTCGTTTTCTAAAACTGCATCATCCGCTTCAGGAACTACATCTTCAAGTGACACGTATTCTGCATCAATACCCTATCGAAGATGAAAAAGCGACGTTAAGCCGATCTAGTTATACAGAAAGAAAATAAGAAATGAGGCAGATGCCGACCTGATCCCGTAATACAGCCGTCATAAACTTGCATGCTAGCCTTTCGCCTAGACCGATGATACTGTCCTTGGATCGTGGAGACACCTCGTTGATTACTTGAGAAGCAAACAAGAAACTGCGCAACCAATCACAGTCTTTATCCACCTCCTCCTCAAGTTCTTGCCTGATATCAGGATCCGAGATAAAGTCTGCCGCAGCTTTGAAATGCTCCTGACGTATTAAATCGACAGTGGTATTGAATGTCGGCATTATCTGTCCACGTTGCGGGACAGTAAGCGGCGTCAAGGAAATAGCATTGGCATCTTCCGCTGAGGAAGACCTGCTTCGTCGTGGAGTTTCTGGTGGGGAGTGGGGCATGTCTTTGATTTGACCAAACAAACCCAAGGGGTAAGGACTCATAGTGCCATCCGGGGAATTGAGGACCGACGTTGGCGGTTTTGGACGCCGTACTAAAGCTTCTGAAGCTGCCCGAAGTAACAAGTTCGTTGTGCCAAGAGCTTTCGAGGTTCCAGAGCGTGCTGAACATACCACAGCGATCTTGTTAGAGTCAATGTATTTTCTGAAAGTACGATGAGCAGCAGTAGATATGAAGGTATGATATAACGCACGCCACGACCTCTGAGGCGATCTGGACTGGAAACTTTCCAACACTGGTGCCTCCAAACTTCTGTACAAGCCATTTTGATTCTGGATCTATACTATTCTGATGCAGATTAGGAGGTGTCTTTGGCGGTGAAGGAGAGCGTTCAGAAGAAGAGGAAGACGATGAAGGCGATGATGAGGTGGACATCGAATTTTGTGACTGATCAAAGTAGTTAATATATATAAAGAGAAAGAGCGAGGCACTATTGGACTTTATAAGCCATTGAGGCTGGAGCGAAAGTCAAAACTCGGAGTCATGATGATGATCGTAAAAATTGCCGCTGGTCTAAATTTCCCACGGATTCCGAGGGCGATGCGGCGCGAATCTCAAAGAAAGACAATGAATTTGGGTGCCATGATGAACGAACGATGTCCTACGATGTCCTCATAACTTCTCCCCTGTTCTCCCTTCAATGTGACACGCTTCAAGTACGGAAATACTCTAGTCAAATAATCTACGCTATCTCAGCGTTATCTCATCTCAACTCATTCCATCCGGATATCCCGACGGCTCGTTTTGCCAGTACAGTAACAGACCAATACAACAGACCAATACTCGACATACAGCTCTGCTACTTTGCTCACAAATAATTAGTGTTATGCCCAAAAAAACTTCCAGCATCGGTCAAACCAATCCTCCTACATCGCAGATAAGTTTTTTCAGTTATAAATGTGAGAACAAAAAATACGAGCTCACAATGTCTTCACGTCTTGTCCCAGGTCTCACAGAAAGGATCCCAGGATAGCCAAAGTCAAAGAGACGGGCAGACGTTATTCCTTTCCCGGGATCGAAGACAACGTGGATGTTATTCCTATTGATATCGCTGCGAATGGAAGGTGATATGAGGTCTTATTTGGCACCGAGAAAATACCCGTACGCATCAATTAATCCATAGCGACTCCAAAGGTCAATGAGTTGTGGCTCAATCAACGTCTTCATGTGCGCCATCATTCGATTCCTCGCCTGACTGCTAGCACCCTTCCACTCGGGTGTCTCCTGGATTGGTGCTCCATCAACTCTCTTCATGATGATTGCATAGAGCTCGAAATTTTCAGGAACTATCCGAACTGTTCCCGTTCGCCGGTTCGTTTCTTTAGTCATAATTGTCCATGGAACTTTCCCAGAATCGACGTATTGCCCAACAAGATCAAGAGCCATGGCTTCGCCATACGCATTGATGTCAGCCTCTTCACCTCTTCTAGCCGGCGAGAGAACTTTTACGACCAAGTCATCTGGGTGATTGTTGTGATACGGACGGCCAGTGTACTTGTACACTCCAGCATTATAGTTCCCCAATTTACCCATCTCACCAGTAGCCAAATTTACTCCAAGGTATTTCGTGAAATCCCCTCCTGCTAAAGGTATCCTTGAGTCACTTCTACTTGCGTAATTAGCATTTTCATTGTAATGGAACTCACCGAAGTATTTGTTTACATCTTTACGAGTGAGTGCATTGGGGTAGAAGCCGGTCATCCAATTTCGCTGGTGAGACAATATTCAGCATAATTTTCATTTGCGAAAATCCGAAATTGCGGCGTACGTAGAGATTGTAACCGTGTTGACCCCACATATTCTGGACAGGGTTCACATAACCCTTTGAACGACGGTCAAGGGTTTGACTAACAGATGTGAAGTTATATTCGTCGGAAGAGTCCCCAGGATTTGAAACACTTGTAGTATTGTAGATGACCGGAGCTCTCCCAGGAAGCGGAGCAGCACATGCGGTAGGAATAGAAGAGACAAGGTAGAGAGACCCGAAGATAAAGAGGGAGAAGCAGATCGAAGTGGGAAGCTTGAACATATCTGTCGATAATGGATTGGACGAGAGAAATTATCGATACTAGGATGTTCCTCTGACCAGCAGAGGAGAGGTCTGAGGGGGTTGCTGGGGGTGGGGAAAGAAGGCGATGATTAGGGTTTGCTTAAGTATATGAGAGTATATGTTGGGAGGAAGTATCCGATGGAACAGAGCAATCACCGTCGGAGGCTGGAGCCACTGGAGTGATGGGGCGAGGCGACTACCGGCGACTACTTACCACTTTGTACCACCAATCTCAGTAGTATGGATCTTATTCTAAAAGTCTACAACATGTTACGGACAGTTTCATGGAGCACTCGCTGCAAGAAGATTCTATGGTATTTTTAACACATAGCATTACCTTTCCTCTGCCTCTCGATCAACGCCTTCCTCGCCCTTTCTTCCCTGTTTGTCAGTATCGATCGCGTCGACTTCATCGACCTCGTAGTCGAAATTCTCGAAAGTGATGATGCCATTGACCGCGACCTCGAGTGTGAAAAGGATGGGAGAGCAGGCAACTCGAGCGCTCTGCTAGATGCCGGACTGCCTCGTCTCGACACCGCTGCCATCTCTCCACCATAGGCATATCTAGGCCTTCTTTGACTACCAAAAGTTCTGAATAGGGCGTTCGTGCTAGATCGCGTCGTCCCTGCAGACCTGCTTTTCTTCTTCACAACCAACGCTGCAGTTGATTTATACGAAGTATTCGAAATCTGCCTCGAAAGAGTCATTGAGCGTTGTGCGGAAGGCAAGTTCGAGAATGCGTTATCGTTCCCTCTGTAGCTTTCCAACCCCATCCCTGTTCCGAACGCGGGACCACGACTCGTTGAAGCTGAATCGACGGTACCGGGAAAGGGAAGCAGACCATCCCTCGAAAACGACGTGCGGACATGGACAGTACCCATCCCTTCAGCAACCTGAGCCGCCTCTGTAGTAGACGTTATGAGCGCAGGTGCCTTCCC